TTATAGGAACGAAGAAATTCGCCCGGGATCGAAAGAGAAGATCACGAGAGAACGTTTCGCTTTTACCTCTCGATTAATCGACCGAAGGTATTGGAGTCGTCGAGTGCTCTCTTGAAATGTCTCCAAATCTCGTACGATACACTAGCGTATTATGAGTTGATCCTGAGATTGACAAAGAAGAGAAAAGAGAGCGCGAAATAAAGAGAAATCTCGAATGTGATTACTATACATGCGATAATAAATATCATATGCGAGAATTCATATAGGAATATATATATATAATATATATGCTTGATGTTTTTATTTATATATGTCGCTCTCGCGCATGTCAGTTTTATATTAACCACCTAATTTGGAATTTAATTGCATTCCGGTGACGCTAACGTCGGCCACAATCGCCTTTTACATATTTTACTCCTTTCGTTAATTAAACTTCGCGCACGTGCGCAAATAAAACGAATCTGAAATGTAGATTTCGCAGCACTCCCGCGTTATAACACGCGCGCCAAGGGGGAATAATTTATTTTTTTTTCAACGGCTTCGCGTATGTCGCGTCCAAGCTAGTTTATACTGCCTCTTCACACAAAACTTTACAGCTCGTAAACACAGGAACAGAACCGGTGCACGTGGCTGCCAGTTAATTTAGCGCGAGTTCGCGATACGGTATGTACCGCGTGAATGCGTGCATGCGATCGCGTTCACCCTCAACGTTATTTCGGTGCTTGAATTTTTAGTGCCGTTTCTGTCGCTCGCGGAGGTTAAACTCACCGGAAACTAACCGAAGAACGATCAAGATGCCGTCAATACTGTTTCAATATCATTCGACTTTCCGATTAGAATTGAAATCGAGGAGTTCGGTATAAAAGGAACTCAAAAATAATAGTGACGTTTTGAAAAGAAAGAAAGAAATTAATTTATAAATTTAATGTCAAAAAACATTATAGAAAACATTATTAAAAATTACGACAAATTAAGATAAGAAGATTTTTGGAAACTGAGGAATTTGAATCCTTGGTTGGGATCTCAGAAATTCCCTTGTTCCTTCTCTAAACATCCCCTGTAAGAAAAAGACGAGAAAAATATTGGTCCGAAAGTCGGCTGAATCGGGAATCGAACCCGAGATGAATATGGAGTTTTTAAAACAATTGGAGAGCTGACTTACAAATATTCTTATTATATTATTAAAAATATTAGCTAAAGAATCTTTTTTGAGCATATAAAGTTTTCAGATTAATAATATGATTTGTAAGTAAAAAGTGTTTAATTTTCTTTGATACCGATTTTAAATCCAATAGTATTTTATAATAAATTGACTGGCAATAAATTTTTTTTTAGATTTTTCTTTCGATTATCTGGCGAATACATTTTCTTATAAAATAAATATTGTTGAGCTAATTATATATATTTTGACGATAACGCGGCGTATCGCTGGATTTAGAATTACGAGCGAGAGAAATCTGATGAACAAGCAGGTGCTCTGCGCTGATCGATTCTACGTGTCCTGTTTAAGTGGAGGATGTCGTTTTGGTGAAACCACATGGAGGGTGATCGAATCCAACAGAGACTAACGGAAGGAAAGTCCTCTACAATACATGGTTCGGTACATTATGTACAAGAGATTGCAATGAGGAAATAAATCGCTCACTTTCCTTAATGATTTCCCGCTTGTGCTTCTCTCTCGACACGAAATTTAAGGAAATCACATAAAAGTTAATGTATTGAAGTTAGGGCATGTATTGATCATCAATATTTTGAAACGGTATCAATCAATCGGAGCTTCGGGGTACGTCAAATATTTTCATTTTACATTTTCTCTCGCAAAAAAGCGGAGCTCGCGAAAAAAGGTTGACAGAACACAGTGCAATGAAATTAATGAGAGAGGGTATGGACGGAAAGGGACAAATTACTTTTCTGGCAGACGTTCCATTTCACGCACAATTTAACCTCTGCGATCTCCGTAAAAGGCGTTTGCATGATTGCTTTGCTTGCAATATAGTTGAAAAGAAAACGATCAACGGCAGGGAACGGGATCAGGCGAGCGCATCGCTCGCCCTGCTTTTACCTAATCACTTTTGTGATGGCTCGATTAATCTTTCTCGCTGACGAAATCAGAGCTGTTGCTTAAATCGGGAATTTGTTTGAGCACACTGCGGAACTACATTCGTACGAAACAGAAAAGAGAATTGAGTGGAGAATTTTATGTTTCAATTCCTCATTTATGTCACATTCATAATTAATTTCGATTGAAATTGTAATTATATATGAATCAATAGATATCTAAAAAATTTTTATAATTAATAATAATTAAATTAAAATCAAAATTTATTTGACATTGTTTTTGTTCGAGTAGGCATAAATACTTAATTGTCATGTGGCTGATAAACATAGAAGAATAGGTGAAATGATGAGATCTGTCAAATTCCTTGCAATGATAGAATCGTTATTTTCCCTTTGCTGTTTATTTAAAATCCATGAGAGGGCAGCTGTTTTCATAATAGATTGTTTGAAAGGTGCTCAAATAAATCTGGAAAAAACTGGAAAAACCATAAATTTTTAAAATCATTCCGATGTCTCTTTGTTTCTTGTTACATCCTTAATTCTATCATGAACGTAGATACGATTATCTATTATCACATAAAGGAGCCTCTAAATTCTGTAATAAAAATCACAATTAATAGGTAAAATAATAATATTGAAATATTATTATTATTTTGTGAAAAATAATAACGAAATATTAAATTTATTTTTGTTCCAAGACGAAACGTGATTAAGATGTAACAAAGGCATAGAAGGATGAAATAGACAGAAAAGAGGTGGTTGGAATTTTAAATTAGATCTGCATATATATGTAGTGAATTAGTATACTACTTTACAATATTATCTTATTACTGTATAATTTTTTTTATGTTATTACTCTGTGTTTTTGCGGCTGACAGTTTCCACTTTACTCTGACAGTTTTACTCGGCGAATTTATTTCTGCTGCCAGATGAAAGCACTTCGTACAGGTTTTTTCTTTGATTACACGTCGCGTCTCTTTCTGTGCAGCTGGCACAGTATTTAAATACTTGATTGCGCGCACCCCTTTTTCCTTTGGTTCACCTTCGCGCTGGCTCTAATCTCTGTCTTTATTTTTGGTCATTGCGAGAATCAAGGACGGAAACACGACGGTGCAACGAAAATAAGTTAATTACTCATGTTAAAAACCTTTTTCGAGCTTACAGTGGTGAATCGTGCAACGAATTTGATCCTACGAGCTAAAATTGATAATTTTTCCGATTCATTAATTATCATAAATATACATGATTGTCGTTGAATTCAATTAAGACACAAAAATGCAAAAATGATAAATCAACATAATATAAGATATAATACCGCGTTACGCAATTCGCGAGTAGAATTTTATTTCATTTGCCATATTTTCACATTTGATCCTCACGCGCCGTTACCATGAAATAAAGGACGTTAACGGCCATTATATTGTGTAATATGTCTAAAGTCATATCGAGAACAGGTCGTGTAAAGCCGGTTTGTGGTGCGTTAAAAATGACGAGGAATAGTCCGACAGGGTGTCGACGTTTCAGCATTCCACGAGGGTGGAATTTAACAGCGGCGCACTGCCGGGTTCGTTCATAGTTTACCGCCTCTCGACAACGACGGCGAATCACCCCTTTCGCTTACTTACTTTTCCAGCTATTCGACGCGACTACCGGCCGCGAGTACGAAAAGTCTCGCTGAGATTCCGTCAAGAACAGGAGAGACCAACATCATGCCCGGAGTCCCTCGGGAAGTCAAACTCTCGAGCGCGTCGAGATGTGAATATTTTATCTCGATATACTTTAGCACGTCGCGAGCGAGTGTTGCTTCCTCTCGTTACCGACTCGCCCATTCGCGTAATTAATTTGTTCATTACTTGAGACGGCGCGGCGGAGAGAGAAATATAGAAATGTTATTACGTGAATTAATTTCTGCCACTTGCTTCTTAAAATATACTCGGCGAAATTGCGTTTTAACACTCGCGGTGGAGAGCGAGCTTTTTTCACTTAAGGCGTATTACCACTTAAGAAGAATTTACGAAATGTCCGCATTTTAAATGCGAAATCTCCGCATCTTATTCGCGCTAACAACATTTCCGTTCGCACGGAAACGGAAGAGAAATTATTACGGGCCGCAGCGATTAATGCAAATCTGAAATCGTTTGATCGGGGTATGCGCAGAGATGCGCGAGTGAGATCCGATAGAAATAATGCGCTAAATGAAAATGTGTTTCAGTCGGGGGTGTTTCAGGAGGGAGGAAAGAGAAAAAAAGGGTAGAATTCGCGGCGCGATTTAAAATTTAAATGTTCAGCGAATCCGCGTTCGCGTAAAACAAGTCGGCGGTTGTTTATTTGTTCGTTGTGTAGCCGATAAAATTTCACAGGCGGACGGAGAACGAATCGATACGCCCATAGATTGCGTGTATTTACATCGTCGAAGAGTTATTAAGGAGTAATTAGATTACGGCTATCTGTATTACATCACGGTATATCGATATTAGCTCTCTTTGCTCTTGTCCTGACGGTCTTGCCGTAAACGTTTATAACAAGTATATATATATATATATATATATTTTCTTCATTCACCGAGAGGAGAGAAATTACTACGTAATTTCGAAAGGATATATATTTATACATCGACGTTTTATGGAATAACATACGTGACGGAAAGTGATTATATTATACGATGAAAATGTGACAGCAATTAAAATATTCTATATAAAAATGCTATTTCGTCAAATTAAGACAAAAATAAATTCTTCAGTATTCAGTTATTTCTCTAAAGATTATTTTGGAGCGCAGAAGCGGGTTAATGGTGATTAATTTAACCGTATTTATCCTAAAAGATCGTGTAATCTGTAACAGTCTCTCGTACAGCTCACACGTTTACGCTCGTATGTTTGGTCACGAACTCCCGATTGTTGCGACTGACCGAAACGGATATCTAACGGATGCCTCTGCTTCAGAAAGGACGTCCGACTTCCGGTGCAGCTTCAACGAGCCATGGCCAGGGAGGCGGAAGCTGCGAGGGAAGCGAGGACCAAAGTGATTGCGGCGGAAGGTGAAATGCGAGCTTCCCACTCCTCTGAAAGAGGCCAGCGACGTCATTTCCACGAGTCTCGTTGCCCTACAGGTAATGTATACAACACACATATGCACACGCTCGTATTTTATCCCTTCGAGTTGGACGTTAATTAATAAAATGCTGCTAATTATCTACTATCGAAAATTGTCTCTGCGCTCTATTTAATGGCCTCGTCTTATTACATTTTCGTTTTCGTAATATCGATATTACGAACCGGTCGGCGCGTTGCTAATTAATATTAATTAACTAAAATTAATATTTGCATTTAATCGCGGCTTCGGAGCGGCGTGTTACAATTTTTCAATTATCGAAAAGTATAATTCCTCATTATGAAATCTAACGTGAGAATAATTTTAATTACCACGTGCATTGATATTTTAAAACTTTGGTTCGCGAGACTTTTTATTAATTTAAAAAATTAAAAATTTTTTTAATTGCGTTTTATAAAGTAAAAAGTTCTGCAAGAAAAACAAGATTCTAATTATATGTTTTACTAACAACATGATATCTGACTCGCGTAGTTTAGAATTAAACAAAACTCCACGGATGACATAATTATATAAGATATATATATATATATATACAAGTGGAAAAAATTCTCACATTTTTTCAACTCTTGTTACTGCTAACTACGATATCTGCATATTCTGAACAATATAATGCGGCGAGGAGAACTCAACAGTCATATTCTCATTGCCGGTTGAGTTCCTGACGCCTTTCTTCATCCCCAGCTTGCGCGGTCATCAGGAAACTGTACAGATGGTAGAACACTTACATAAAACAGAGGATAAATATTAAAATTTATGATCCTCTCTTTTTTATCACTAATGTAAAAAAAGATAATTATATTTGTAACATAAAGATAATACGATGGTCTGGTTTCGACAGCAGCTTTAATATAAGAAAAATAATTGAAACAAAGAATTATAAAAAAAAACGGATTAATCTGTTACTTTGCTGTTATCACAAAAGTTATATATTTACGTGTAAAGCTGTCTCACTTTTTTATTAATTTAATTTTAATTTTCGTCGATGACACGTACAATCAAAATTAAAAGAATTTTTATTCATATCTTATGCATCCTTTCTATTTAGATTTGATCATTAGAATAATCTGCAATTTTCTTTAAAGTTTGTTCTTTAAATTTCGTGAATGAAAAAAATATTAATCTTGAACATCCAATATAAAACAAATATATCGTACAAGAGAGAAAGAATTGAAAACGTATATCTGACTATGTATGTACATATACATGTGTAAACATTTTGTCAATACGAGCGTTTTTCGAACAGAAAGGAAACACCGTTTGTTTTCAACGATATTCGCCAACTAACGCAAATTAATAACGCAGTTCTCTTGATTCAATTCGCCGCAGATGACCGCGCCCGCTGGAGATTCGATAAACATGTGTGCTCCGATAAGATCACTTTCAAAGCACACCTTCGTTTAACTAAATTCACTGACCCGGCTCGTGTGCAAACAGTACCACATCAGATATCGTACATGTATTTTTCTACGTAGAATAGGGAAATGATACGGCCGATCGGCCGGTGAACGAGTTTACGATCGCCACATCGTGATTTGCATACAATCCGTTTTACTATCGCGTGTCTCTCTTTCCGTCCTTTAACGTTTACTAAATACCGTAGAGTTCGCTTAAAGTCCACATTCGTCGGTCACTCTTTTATCTCTCACTCATCATTTAACATTTTCAACATTCTTTGTGGTTTTTACGCTCGACTACGTTGACTATTTTAAAACTGCTGGTTCTTTCTCTTTCCCTCTCTTGAAATTTAAAATTATAATTTTGGCAACAGCCAGAAAATCGCACAAATACAAAGTATTTATACGTGCAGTAGAAATATTAATATTTAAAGATTTTTTGAATAAAAAAATAAAATTTTTTAGATAAAGAAATAATGTGTATTAAATTATTATATCTCTACTAAAGTCGGGTTTAAGTAGGATTTTATAATTCATCGATAATATTAAACGTATAATATAAAATTTGATATAAAATTGACGTTTTAAAAGTAAAGTTTGCTTGATGAAAGTTAGAAATTCAATATATATCCATAGTACACAACATATTAAAAAGTTGAACGCATTAGCTCTCTGCCCGTAGTTTTGTTACCCTATTTCATTCGGAACATTCGTGCGGCACAACGGTTTTTATTCGCTCAAGTGCACAGACTTTTTCAAGATTACCGTTCGTGACGCGATCCACTGACGTTTATTTTCCCGGGAAAACCGCATGTCAAGTCTCTTTCACTTTTTTACAATTTTTTTTTAAGTTACTGCAACGTACCAATTCGAAAGGATATGACGGTGCACAAAATCGACATGCGCCGTAGATCTTTTTGTACGTAGCGCAGTAGAAGGAAGCTCTCAGCTAGCGCGGTTTTGTCCGACGTGCATTCGATTATGCTCGTAAAGGGAAATGCCATTATTCGCCAAACGCACAAAATTCGATTGCAAGGAACGGAGCGCTTAAAAGTGGAGAGTAATATTCTTCGTTTTTCAACATCTCTTCACATACACGAGTAATCTCTTCTCTTTCTGCTTCTCTTTCTTTCTCTCTCGTTTATCGTTTAAGTTCAAAATTAATCAAAATTCGCATTTTTAATCGTATAATTCGTAATTTATAAGTGACGAGAAAGATAAGGGATACGTGTATTATTCGAGTTAATTGTTTCGTGAATATTTGAAAAGCAGATAAAGATTAATTAGCCAATAATTCATTGAAGCGTGCAAAGTTTCGAGCGTGACCCATTTCGCATAAATTTTCGCACCGCGTATATTCCATAATTTCCAAAACGTTTCAACGCGTTTCCATTTAATCGCGATAAACAATGCACGATTCGAGAAGGCGATCCTGCCTACTTGTCTACGTACATTTCGCCATGCACACTTCCGCACGGGATTTGCTACCAGGAATGCTAATCGCGCAATATAGAAACTCAATGGAGAGAACACCGAGAAAGAGAGGAGGAAAGGGCTTTGCATTATGCTAATGATATTCGACAAAACGAATGGGCTGTCCGCGCAAAAAGGCAACCGTGTCGTATATTAAAGAAATCCTCTTTTGCTCTCCGCGCGAATATTCATCCCGAAGGAGGGCGAATTCCGGGGCCTCCTTTCTCGTCCCCATTCAATGGGGAGACGAGTATTCAACAAACGCGATAACTTTGTTCCTAGCCGACCTGCCCCACAGCGTGCCCGACCAGGTTTTTACCCGGCCGATGCATCCCCGAGTGCGAGGAATACCAACCAATTAAAAGAACAATGGAGCCTGCAAATACCATTGTCGTACGCGCGCTTTCCCTTCGAGCGTATTCATAAAACGCCCTTTTTTTTTCTACGCATTTCGGATTTTTTTCTTAAAGCGATAATCGTTCCGGAACGAGCAGATCTCATTTCCCGCGATGACGCGCGCTCCGAACCTTTTTTCCTCTCTCCGCTATTATTAATATAATTTTGTAAGGATCGAGATAATTAAAGAGACGAAGCGGTGATCCCTCTATATTATATATTCTCTCTTCCTTTTTCTTTTTGTTTCTTTCACAAAGCTTTAGACGCGAAGCGTCTGCAAAACTTTCGTGCATAATTATAATTCTTCTATAGGTATATCATGTCATATAAAATATGTTCTTAATAAAAAAGAATGCATTTTTTTTACCCATAACAAATTTTTTATCATTATAATTTTGGATTAATATTACAGAGAATAATTGGAATCATAAATATATTGGAATATTAAATAGCTCTATCGAACCAATTATCGAGATAGATTTTTATTTTCTTCTTCAATCAATATGCTAATACTTTTCTTTCGCGATTGCGACAAAAGACGCTATTATTGGTTATAATTATAGCGATTAACAATTATCGGCCAGCGTTGATTGATTGATCTTTGCGATAAAGAATTTTCTCTTAGAATGTAAAATCATTGTAATCGTGGAACAATATGGTAGTGAAAGAATTTTATAAAATTTCTCTGATTAATATTTACTACAATAAAAAAATTAATATCTACCACAATAAGATATAGAATATGTTCGATTAATTTTACTATGTGCATAGTAATATTTTTATTGTGGCAAATATTAATCAGAGAGACTCTTATAAAATTCTTCCAGTATCATATGGTCTCACGATTAGCATGATTTTTAGGGTAAATTCTAAGAGAAAATTCTCTCCGTGTATTAAAATGGAATCGAAACGATAGGAAATGAGAAACACTTTTGAATTATCAAATATTAGGCGAGTATTAGGAGGTATTAAACATGATTGTTCTTTAGTTTTGTAATTAACGATCGATAATTACATATTTTTATACTTTTTCACAATTGATAATTATTTCTTTAATAAGGCTTAGGTTTAAATATATATTTTTCATCACGCGCATTAAATTTTTTGTAGATTTAATTATATTTTACCTGCTCGATTTAAATATATTTTCGCATTTTGCAAAGTAAAAAACGAATCAGATCGAGAAATTCGAATAATTCAAATTCGTGATACATTAATCATTCTCAACAATTATTTTTTCTTCATGGCGTAGCAATACATTAAATATTTTGATAAGAGAGAATAGAGAAAGAGAGGAATAAGGGTAGAAAAGGAGAATATTATCTAGCTTTATTTTTCGTGACACACATACATATATATATATAATGCTGTTATACTAACCTTGTTATTATTCGGGTGGCGACACTCGAACTGGAAGATAGAGACACTACGTGTGTATCGTCGTCCTACATATATGTATCTCTCTGTCGCGATTACGAAAAGTAGTAAAAGACATGATACAACATATTAAAATATTCGTTTTAAACATAAATAGCGATAATCAGCTGGCGTGATTAAAATTTCCATGATAAACGACACTTCATCACGATGACGGCGATTATTTATCGAAATGAGCGTAGCATTTCTCATAATATATTTATTTGAAATAGGAATCGATAGGAAATAGGAATAATATATTGTTTTATCGGATGTTTTATGATCGATAATATATCTTACATCTACAAATATGTTTGAGATCGAATATATCTCGCGCATCGCGAATAAATTTTTCGTCTATTTCAAGTATAATACATCTGTTAAGGCTTTCGCCGGGCAACAGGCAATAAATAGGAACAGGAAATAAATTCAGAAAATAGAAGAAACAAGAAATTCAAACATACGAAAAACTGTATCAATGCAGAATAGACTGTGACAGAGACAATAGGCATAGAATTTCCATCATGTTGAAAACTCTGTGCTTATCATCTGTTGCCAATTAATCAGAGAATTCGGATGTTTTCAATTATATTTAAGAACTTTTGATGTGTGTGTACATGTCATCCTAAAAGTATCAAAGTAACATATTTTTAAATTCTGTAGCTTTGAGATTGCGGAACAAAGTACAATATGCGAATAAGGAAAAGATATTTAATATTTATATGATAATGAATATTAACAAATTAAATATAATCGACTGTTTCACTATTTTTAGGCAGATTTTTAATTTGAGCATAATCCTTTTATCGTACAGTATATTATAAAATTAGCGAAAATTATTTTATATCGCCGCGGCCTCTGTACGTAGATCGTGCCCTTTTTTTTTTTTTTTTTTTTTTTTTTTCAGGAAATTTGCCTAAACCAAACTTCGCGTCCTGACCCTTGAGGGAGGGCCAGGAGGCTTCGTGGCGGATTCCCGTCCGCAGTATCCCGAAGGACTATCGGACGGGGTACCAGCCTAAAACCTGACTATAGCCCCTGGTCGTTGACGGGTATTGTCCACCGCGGA